TAGTATTCATGTGTTAATAAACCCACTTTTCTAATAAATTCAGTCAATTAAAGTTGAAAACGTTTTCTAACAAATCTTAGTTGATAAGAAAAAAGCCCAATGACTTATTTGCATTACAAACTTGAAATAAACCCTTCCTATTTCCTCTCATTATAATCAATCTGAAGCTTCTGTTTTAATGAATGAGCTGCTAACAAATTAAAGTAAACCCTCTGGAGATCTGTGATGTAGGCTGTTTGTTTTCTTAAAGCATTTTCAAGAATCAAGCATAATTGTGTTTGATTTAGCTAATTTATAACTGAATTTATGACGCAATATACTTCATCTCTAGTGAGCGGCCCATCGTTTAGTATATTTTTCTGTAAGTGGCCCACGAAGAAAAAAGTTTGGACACTCCTGGATTAAGGCCTTAGTTTGGACACTGGGATTGGGCCTCTCTCCACAGTTTGTAGTTCCTATCAGTGCATCCTGTTGCTCTTTACACTGGACGGACTGTACCAATGTGTCCCAGAGGTGGGGGGGTTATTTCCGGGGAGTTTCCGGTGGGGATGAGCCCTGGTGGGGGGGGGGGGGCAGGTTGTGGGGGATCGTGATGTTGGATCCTAATCCCTCAGCGTTGGCTGCAACACGGCCTTAGTAGGATAAACTGACATGGACATTTGAAAAATGCTACTTGGACGTTAGCAATTATTTAAATGATTAAATCAGAAGTCCTTTTTATCCAAAGGGAATGCCAACTCTGGTAAGGCCAAAACTTTATTCTTTCTTAAATGTTTGCTGTGTTTGCTCTTTAATTTGTTGTTTTAAAAATTGAGGGGAGGACGTCAGAAATAAAATAGCCTGATAATGTACTTGCATCATTTGTTTTTTACGTATCTGTTGCAACAATTTTTAACTTCTTATTAATCCAGCAAGATTACAATCCATGCAAACCAATATATACTTCAAAAAGGAGCGGTTACAATCAAAGAATCAATGGTATTATAATTTAAAAACATGTTGGTTTTCTATGCATTTTGCCATCAGTCAAACCCTCTACTTCTCATTATAGCTGACGTGTAGAGATATGTAGGAAACACAATACTTTAAAACCAGTTTATTGTCTTCAATTGCTTTTAAGAGGAATCTAAAGTCTCTGGAATCAGGATTTTTTCAATGTAGAATATTTGCGAGTTAACGCATGTGCCTACAAATATCAAGTTACACATTTGATAAGGCCCAGAAAGGCTGCTTTTGCTTTGTAAATTACGTGGTGACAATATTTAACTCATAGCTGATAAATGAATGTGACAGGTGAGCGGACAGGAAGTCACCCAGAAATCATTAAAGACGGTCCTTTGACCTCTTTAAGGTCACGGAGGAGCTGAGATTAATGTGAACTCGCTGCTTTGACAGCTTGTAGTAGCTCCATGTAAAAAGAATCAGGATATGTTTGTAATTCATCTGACCTCAGTGGCATCTAACCCTGTGATCATCAGCCATATTTGTTCCAGGACAAACAGAAGTCTAGACGTTCTAGTTGTTCAATTTTGCTTATTTTCAAGCAAAGAAACATGTTTTCATGCTTCAAAAACTGCATTATTTCCCAATGCACATATGACAAATCAAATGAATTGTCAGGTTAAGATATGTTTCCTTCAAATCAACTCCCTTGGAGCAGTTCCAAGTTTAGTACAGTGTGAAAAAACCTCAATAAAAGCAGAAAGTGTACAGAAACACTTGATGAATCTGAGGTTAAATATTTAATCAAAACCTTGATAATTAATCAAATGTTCTGCAAAGTTAATTACATCTTACATCCGCAAATATGGGGGAAGATTGTGAATAAATAAACACTTCTTCTTAAACTCTCTCTGATGGGAAGGCATGAGCGAAGTCCAGGTGCATGTAAATGAGACTAAAACTGACCCCAGATCAGCTGAACTGTTGAATCTACCGTGTGCTTTATTTCAAAAGTCATCATATTTGACTGCACAGTGTGTCGGTAGAACGATCTACAGAAACGTAGGAAGCTATGAAGACAGAGTTTGGCTCGTTCCCACTCGTAAATTATCCAAAAGGTCACTTGAGAAATGGAGATATCTTTTCTGTAAATTACAGAGTGACCTATCTGCTTCCTGTTAAAACTCAGACTGCCATTGATTTTCATGATTCAAGGGAAGCTCGTTGACTTTTAAAACTCCGGGGGAACACTCTCACAAGGAGGCAGATCGTGACCTTTTCAAACTCTGCACAGCCATAAATGCTGATTTGACATGTGAATTATAAACACAGATCAATAAGTGAGAGGAGAGGGGAGAGAGGGGGGAGAAAGGGGAGAGGAGGAAGTGTTATGTAAGCGCCAGCTGTGTGAGTAAAAGCTCTGAAAAGCATCTCACTTTCTCTCCTGAATCATGCATGCATTATTCATGTTAGTGGAGGAAACAACAAATGGAAACATGCTCAGATGATTGTGAAACTGCGATTGTGTTTATTACTCTCCAGGCAACAAAACAAATCAATGCATATATATGGGATTTTTAGAAATATACATCAATGCAAACTCAGTAATCCTCAATCGGCCACCTCTGCGACTCGTGATGATGAAACAATAATGTGAGGGCAAAATGAAAAAAAAAAAAAATCTGCAGTCTTAATCTGGATTAAATGACTGTGTTCGTCATCGCGGCTCCAAACCAGGACACAGCAGCCCAAACACAGCATGCATTTGTCAGATGATAAGAACACGGTTGTTTCTGGGTTGAAAAGGTAATGTTAATGTCACAGGAAATACTGAAAAATACAGAAAAATGGAATTGGATTATTAAAGGATGTATTAATTCAAAAAAGATATGTACTATGGAAAACTTTTTACCTTATTAACCCTGTATGACTGATAAAATGTTAATATTTGCAAAGTCTTTTAGAGATACTCTGGGTATTCTGATATGTTAAATGAGGATTAAATCAGTCCTTTTATCACAAAGACCTGCTGTGTCTTTCATTTGATTTAAAATATTATGCATGTTTTTGAGCTTGCTAGGGAAAAACACCTTTCAGTTTGATGCCATAAAAGCACCTAGTTTGCGTTCACATTTAAATAGATTTCAATTGCAATACCCAGAACCAAATAGTATCATGTCCTTCAGTATACATCCGCAACATGTTTGGCAAAGTATTACAAATAGTGCTTATGAGTCAAATGTGTCAAAAGTAAGAGAAACAACAACACTCGTAAGATAGAAACGTAATTTGTTGTCTATAAATCACATCGTTTTTTTTATTATAATACAGTTTATGAAGGCTAATGTTAGCTTCTATTAGCAAACTTTAAGATAGAGATTGTTGTGTTGCTGACATTACTGATCAGTTGATTTTATTTATCTTCCTTAATGTGCAATTACTGTTAATTCCCCAGCTGTGGCACAAATAAAGGATTTCTGATTGTTACTGTAAGTTTTAGCGTTTGTCATTATAAGCATTTTTCGGTTTAAAACGCTAAAAGTATTCATACAGATTTTTGCATAGCATTATCTTACAAAATGTACAAAGAGCGTCAAAAATACACAAGAATAAAAAAGAAAAGACAAGTATATTGACAATATATACAAGACATACAAATATAATAATAATTAAATAAATAAATACAATTGTAAAAAACTAAGATATAAAATAAACAACACAAAAAAACGTAAACAGGTAAAAGAGGACGATATTAGAAAAAGCAACACAAAAGTTTAAAATGATGAAATTACAAAGCGTTTGTAAGCAGCCTAATATTGCCTAAAAATCCATCATTTCTGCAGTAAAAGCTGCATGGCTAGCTTTAAAGCTAACTGTCAAGGTGCCTTTAGCAGGGAGTGTAGCTGTAGAGTAGTTGACAAGTGATTTAAAAAATACACAGCCGCTCCAGATTGAGCACATGAAGGTTAAATAAAGGTTTGTGTTACTTTACAGTTAGACAGTGTTACTCATTCCTCATGAACTGTGCACAGAGTTTAGCATCGATGCAGCTTCATTATCATATGTCTCCTTTTTGCAATCTGTATAAAACAGAAGATCCAGCCTCAGGTTGAACAATGTTTGATTTGTAAGACTGACATCAGCGTGCAATCATCTAATGATGTCAGCGCAAAGCAGCCAGCGATGTTCCTAATATGCAAAGTCATTTGTGTTATTGTCGTCCTGTTGGAGCCTCCGGTCTCCACACAAATAAAGACAGATCTGAACGTGTCGTTGCTGCACAGCGCTGTGTGACGGATCAAAATGGCGTCACAGCATCTGAGCGTAGGGACAATGAGATTATCTGCTAGTGAGGAAGGACACGCAGCCTGCAAGGCATGCTGGGAGTCCTGCACTGATTTGTCCTGTATAATGTCCCTTTGAATTTCTGATTTAAATACAATCCTGCATTTATGTATGACCTAAAGTCCTTTACAAGAAGTTATACACATCATAACATGGATTGGATTGATAGTATAGGGAAGTAAAGTTAAGCAGCAAAAAGCTAGATGAACAGAAGTTAAATTAAAAGCAATAAAGAATGTCTTGCTCATCTACAATGGCACAACATATTTAAGGCAAATCCCGTGCATATTTTCTCCATCTTTTAGAGGATTTCGCCAAAGAGAGTCAAAGGTCATACTCCTAAAGCTTTGTTGTGAATCCCGTCGAGACAGTAATTATGACTTCTGTCCCGAAGGAGGCGTTGCATGGTGATGTCTCTGCTCCACAAGTGATTTCTTCTCTCCTGACAGATAATGTGTGATGTGCATTGTGTGTTTCAGGTTCAGCATGCAGCACTGTGCACATCAACGAAGGTAAAAGTCTTTCGACGCAGCCGTTGAGGACTTAAAGTCGAGACTTACGCTCCTCAGAAGATCTCACCTGCAGCAGCACTGAGAGGAATTTACGGCTCCTTGGGAGGATTATGCCATTATAGGTTACAACTTGAGCTTTTCTTAGAGTACCACGGCTACCGGGAAAAGTCAGTCCTGCTTTGCTAACACCAAGCAGGAACCATGGATGACCCCTATCACAACAATCTGACCCAGCAGGGGACAGGAGGTGGCACCTACACCCAGGAAGGAGGAGGAGGAGGAGGAGGTCAAGATGGCTACCCTTACCAGGCGGACTACCCTCCTCAGGAAGAAGACGCTCGAAGCGACGCCACCGAGGGCGCGGACGATGACGAGCAGATGTACGAGGGCGAGTATCAAGGCGTTCCCCATCCCGATGAGATCAAGGAGGCTCGGAGGGCGGCTCGGTTGGAGGCCAGGAGGAAAGCTCGCCAGGCTGCACAGCAAGAGGAGGAGGAAGACAACCTGCCGGAGCAATACGAAACCCTGATGGAGGATTGTGGCCACGGGCGATTCCAGTGGATGCTGTTCGCCGTGCTGGGTCTGGCGCTGATGGCTGACGGCGTGGACGGCTTCGTGGTGGGCTTCGTGCTGCCCAGCGCTGAGAAGGACATGTGCATATCCAACTCTGACAAAGGGATGCTGGGTAAGTGACAGCAAAGGGAGGGAAGGTGGGGAAACTTGATGCATGTGGTGCGATGGAAAGTCACTAAAATGTCACTGAATGGAGGTTATTACTAAAAGAAATACCCACTTGTTACTTAAATGGTAATTTGTCCTGACATGTGTATATCCAACTGCTGGGTAAGTGACAGCAATAAATCAAACTAAATCAAACTTTATTTGTATAGCCCAATATCACAAAAAAAGTTGGTCTCAGTGGGCTTTACAGATTAAACAACAACATTGTATATGATGGAGTTACAGCAAAATGAGAAGACAAGATAGTGTGTGGAATACAAATAGAAATACAAAAGTGCTGAGAAGGACATGTGCATATCCAACTCTGACAAAAGGATGCTGGGTAATTGACAGCAACAGGAGGGAAGGTGGGGAAAAAACTTGATGTATGTGGTGCGAATTGTATTTGTAGATACCGGAGTAAAACCACCAGACTCAGGGACAGTTTTATCCCATAAGAGAGACTTAAACTCCTTTTGTAACCAGCCGATTCTGCTGAGAGCAGAGAGCATACTGGCCTCTCCAGGTCATGTTCTTGCAGATTGATTTCATCTGTTGCCATCAGGGCGTAGATATGCTCTACCTGCTCTTAAGACAAATCGCTTTTCAAAATCAGTCATCCCCTCTGCACTCAAACTTTTAAATTCTTGTTAGGTTTTTTACCTTGATTATTTATTTACTTATTAATTGTGATGCTATGAACTATTTATCATGTAAATTGGAATGATCCACATCCAGGCTGTAGCTCATGTGCATATGACCATAACACTTTTTAATCTTTTTGGAATCAAAGGGAGGGAAGGTGGGAAAACGTGATGTTTGTGGTGGGAATTGTATTTGTGCCTAAATGAAATGATAATCTTGAAAAAAAGATATTTCGCAAACAGAGAAAGATTGTTAATTTCAACCAGTATTGTTCTGAAGATGTAATAGTTAATGCAAAAAGGGGAAACAATAATACAAGACTACAGTTATGCTAACCCTAACCCTAACCCGTCCTCAAGCAATTATTCGAGCTAAATGCTAACGTAAGCATGCTAGCTAAGTGTTGTATGATGAAAACCATGTTCATTATCTAAGTTTAGCTTGTTAGCATGCTAATACTTGCTAGTAATAACCAAACCAAAAGTAATCCCTAATAGGATGGGAATGTCATTTATTGTGCAGTTTATTAACCAAAGTAAAGTACATTTTGACTGACGATGGTGTAAGGGGTAAAGTTATAGGATGATTTGAGATGTATTTCAAACTGGGGAACATGGATTTCTATATCAGAGTTCATTGTAATCCAACCGATAGTTAAGAAATGTTAACGGCAAGATGGCGCGACAGGACATTTCAGGGGATAGCCAAGGTTTACAGAATTTATCCTCTCGTTACCATGAATGTCTTTACACAATTTCACAACAATCCATTTAATATTGCCGATATATTTCACTCTGGACTTTGGTGAACTAAGTGACTGACAAGCATTGCCATCACTCCAACTATTTAGTTAGCGTGAAGGCTAAAACAAATGTCCTATAAATGGATATACACCCTTTTGGTAACTCTAATGATCCAATCTATCCAGTGAGGATGAACCCCATCAGAGAGATGATTGGCTGTAGTGCTTTGCAGAAACAAAATGCTGCATTTGGCTTTTCTTGTTGGCTCATGGTTTCAGAACAGTGAGTCAGGCAGAAATACCCCCCAGCCCCTGGAACAAATTATGGGGAAAAAGCTTGGCTCTTTTTTGGGCAAATGCTAAAAATGTGAACATAGCCAACAGTGTGAATCCTAAAAGATGGTCCATAGTGGAACCACCATATGCAGTTACTGGATAGTGAGGCTTGGCGTTGGTGCCACAACCGTCTGGAAGTTGACTTTAGGCACACAACACCACATGCTAATTGTTCAAATATGTTAACCTGTTAAGCCCGAGAGGACCCTAATCCGGGTCATGCCACACATAGGAATGGGCAGCTGCTTTTAACATATAATCAATGTTGAGTATATTGTGTATTAAGAAACCATAAGCAGTTATAGCAACTTTGTTGTGTCCCGTCAAAAGTGTTGAGTTTAGTCTTGTTTCATGTTTGGTTAATTTTCGTATTGTCTCCCACTTCCTGTTTTATTTTGACACTCACCTGTTATGCTTCATTCCAGGTTCCTTGACTCCCTACCCTTGTGTGTGTCTCCCGCTCTCATCAGCGCCAGCCCCGCCCCTGATTGTTTCCACCTGTGCCTAGTTACCTCCTGTTTAAATTCCCCAGTCTCCCCGTGTTTTGTGTCAGTTCGTCTTGTCCTGTCCCGATGCAGTCAGCCTGCCTGCGATTACTCACCTTGTCTCAAGCCTGATTTATGCTCTGGAATTATTTTGTAAGTTTTTTCCTCACTTAGTGAGCGATTTTCTTTTGTGCCTTTTGAACCTTTTTTGTCACCTCATCAAGAGTGTCGATCCTTATTTATTATCCTGTTCTTCGGAAATAAAGTATCTTACTCATACTTTACCTCTGTCTCCTGGGTCGTGCATTTGAGTCCAATACCTTGTGTTTCCAAGTTTGTGACAAACTTAAGGAAACAAATTAAATCAGGTTGGGCCTGGTTGTACTTATCTTTCACGCTAACAAAACATTTATTGCTGAGATCAAAATGTAATTGAATGAGTAATCAACTTATTACAATGTTGACAAAGATGAATTAATAACCCTAGCAATAGTAAAGTTTGCAGTCATCTCACCCGCTCTTCTACAGGTGTAGTGTTTGAAATCTGATGACAAAATACATTTCATTAAAGTCAACGTCTAATTTTGTCAGTGCATAATCCCTATGAGTGCCGCCCACAACCATGTGACCCATACAAACCAACCAACTACGATCACACAACAATATATAACAATAATACAAACCATTACCCATACAAAAAATATAAACAAGTTCAAACTTAATTACTATTAAAACTAAATTCCCCACTTTGTAGCTTGCATGGCTCTTTCAAAATGTTGATTACAGTTATGTGAAATCTGTTGACAGAAAACACGTAATTAAAGTCAACGTTTCAGTTTCTTCCGTGCAGTAAACACTGAAATCTGTATGCAGCAAGGAGTCAACTTAGTGGGAAATGCACCTTGAAAGCTACTGACTTTCTGTGCAGACAACCATGCTGCAAATTAAAGCCCCTCACCTTATTTCCCAGGCTTCGTGTGTAGCCAGGCGATGTGGCAGATTGCACATTCGCTCATTTCATCGTAACAACGGGCTCCTGGGATGAGGCTTTGCGAGAGATTGATGAGGATCCCGGTGGTGATTGTATTCGGTGTGTGTTCCCGGGCTAATATGGAGCATGTTGCAGCAGTCAGAGAGCCTTCAGGCCTCTGACAGGGTGTATCAGGAGAAAAGGACAGAGAAAATGAAATCACAGGGTGTGTTTGTGCAGAGCGGGAAGGGGGAGCACTGATCGTTGGCTGAGAATATGAAGTAGATCTGCAGAATGATCCTTTTTGATTCACACTCATGCTCTGTTCAACAGACTCACCGGAGCAGAAATGTTTTCACTCTTAACCTTAGTCTTGGAAAGCAGACAGACTCCCAACACGTTTGTTAAAGGTCACCTATTGTGCAAAATCCACTTGTTCATGTCTCTTCTACATCAACATGTGTCCCCTCTTCTTCATGTCTCTCTCTTCTTCATCAACATGTGTCCCCTCTTCTTCATGTCTCTTCTACATCAACATGTGTCCCCTCTTCTTCATGTCTCTTCTACATCAACATGTGTCCCCTCTTCTTCATGTCTCTTCTACATCAACATGTGTCCCCTCTTCCTCATGTCTCTTCTACATCAACATGTGTCCCCTCTTCTTCATGTCTCTTCTACATCAACATGTGTCCCCTCTTCTTCATGTCTCTTCTACATCAACATGTGTCCCCTCTTCTTCATGTCTCTTCTACATCAACATGTGTCCCCTCTTCTTCATGTCTCTTCTACATCAGCATGTGTCCCCTCTTCTTCATGTCTCTTCTTCATCAACATGTGTCCCCTCTTCTTCATGTCTCTTCTACATCAACATGTGTCCCCTCTTCTTCATGTCTCTTCTACATCAACATGTGTCCCCTCTTCTTCATGTCTCTTCTACATCAACATGTGTCCCCTCTTCTTCATGTCTCTTCTACATCAACATGTGTCCCCTCTTCTTCATGTCTCTTCTTCATCAACATGTGTCCCCTCTTCTTCATGTCTCTTCTACATCAACATGTGTCCCCTCTTCTTCATGTCTCTTCTACATCAACATGTGTCCCCTCTTCTTCATGTCTCTTCTACATCAACATGTGTCCCCTCTTCTTCATGTCTCTTCTACATCAACATGTGTCCCCTCTTCTTCATGTCTCTTCTACTTTCTTATGTCTCTTCTACATCAACATGTGTCCCCTCTTCTTCATGTCTCTTCTTCATCAACATGTGTCCCCTCTGTGTAAAGAGACTCTGAAAGTTTCAGGAACAAAGATTCTCTCTCTTTTTGTCCTGATCCATTTTTATAAAAACCTGTCTGAAAATGAGCTGATCAGATTTTGGCCACTTTGTGATGTCATAACGATTTTTTGTCTTGTGTAACCATTAGCCAATCAGCAACCAGGGTAACCCCCCCCCCCCCCCCCCCCCCCCCTTATCACCTGAATCTCCTCCTAGAGCACCATTGAGTTCTTTGTAACCAAATCTCTCTCAGAGGGGCGTGGGGAGGGGCTCCTTATTTTCATCTGAAGTAACAGACAGAGAATCAGCACTTTTGAAACAGGGCTGAAACAGAGGGGATTATGGGATGCTGCAATGATCTGTTTGGTGTTTCAGCCAATCAGAGACAGGCTCTGAATATATCTGAGACCTGTGATATATTGATGTAAAACAGTGTAATAGGGGACCTTTAAAACTCTGACATTCTGAGGAATGCTGGGTAAGTGACAGCAAACGGAGAGAAAGGGGGAAACTGGATACATGTGGTGCGAATTGTAGGCTATTTGTTCCAAAATGAAATAACAATCTGGAAAATAAGATATTTTGCAAACAGAGAAAGGCTGTTAATTTTAACCAGTATTGTTCTGAAGATGTAATAGTTCAACCCTAACCCGTCCTACAGCAATTCTTAGAGCTAAATGCTAACGTAAGCATGCTAGCAAAGTGTTAACAGACTCACAGGAGCAGAAATGTTTTCAATCTTAACCGTAGTCTTTGAAAGCAGATAGACTTCCAAAACTTTTGTTAAAAAGAGGAGGAATAATTGTGGGCCTTGAAGGTGGTGTAATTGTTTATCCTTCAGGGTGAAAATGAAAGAGGCGTATAGTGGGAGACTCTGGGGACAAAGAAGAGGAAGTTCAGGCAGTTTTTAAATATCAGGCTGCGTGTAGTTGCAGATATTTAACGAGTTCTCTCAAGGATTTGCTAAACTTGCAATTAAAAAGGTCTTTCATAAAATACAAGATGGTTTTATGATGTTTCCCTGCTACTATTAAAGGGACAGTCAAACATATATTTGGTGTTTAACATGAAGACAATCAAATAAGATGTCCAGTTTTGTTTGACGTCTTTTTCCGTTTGATTAACTTTGACTTTTTAAAGGTTTGTAGAGATTTCTTTCTTTGATGTACTCTAAACAAACTACTTTTACTGTTGCATGACATGTAAAAAATACATCTCCTCTGGTGTATCCGACTTTGATCTCTGGATTTGTTTGCGCTAGCTTGTCCTAGGTCAAGGTGTTTGAAGCTCTTCCTAAGTCTTAAAACCTAGCTAGTTTCAAATGGCTCATTTGCTAAACCCGGTTGCTTTATTTAAACTAAAGCAGTGTATATTATATTGCTATAACGTCCTTTAATGCGGACTAATGAGAAGCAAGAACAGATATAACACGTTTAATTAATGTATAGAGATTTTAGTTTTTTTATGAGTGCAGATATACGTTTAAGAGTTAGTAGCATTCTAGTAGTTTAGAGTGAGAGGGTAATATCGTAACAAACATCAAATTACAACTTAGTCTAGATTTATTGACACAATATTTTGTATTTTTGAGATATTTGGTGTCATTTTTGTTGAATGTCATTAAAAAATATACTTTTTATCAACTGTAAGGTCACATGTATACCACATTCAGTTTCTCGATATTAGCAAGCTAACGTAGAATAAGACACCACATATCGGCCAATTAAATTAGCATTATCAGTGGAGCGTCATAGATTTAGTGTAAGTATGCACTCGGTTTTATAATTGTATCACAATTGATCATTGAAAATAGCAATACAAAAGATAACATAGACCTCTAGCTGCTGTTGTTAGGACAAGAGCAAAGATACAAGTGAGTTGATGTGGTATAAAGAGCAACAAACTCCATGATAGGAGGATGTTATGGGCGAAGCGTTGGACACAAAACAGAGAAATGTAAGACAGGAGGTCAGTGTTGCTGTCTTTGTGTTTCCAACATTACGTTTCACTTTCCCTTATTTCAACACGGACAAAATGTTAAGATTCCTTCAGTTTTGAGATGTTTTTTAGTTTCAACGTTGCTTTAAAACATAGTAGAAGCAGTTACGACACATCATAATACTAGGATTACCCACTGATAACGTTCGTTTAATTTGTAACAACATTCAAAATATGGTTTCTTCATTTTGAATTTATGAACAGATGGTTCAGGCTGCAGACCAACACTTGAAACTCATTGAATTGCTACTAAATCAATCAATAGTCAACCAAAGAAAAGCAGAACGATTGGAAAAATGCACCAGAGTTTCAATTAAGTGTAATCAAGCTCTTTTGGTTTAACCTGTGCAGGATGTCCATTGCTCAGTGTTCATAACACTCTAGAAAAGTCATCTAGAAAAGCCTAATTTATTTTGATAATGCACACGGTAGATATTGTACTGTTGTGGAAGGCATGCTACTCCAGTGCGTGACGTTATTTATTCTCCCGAGTCATTATCTCTTTATCCAGATGTCCACTTACAATGCTTTCAGAAAGAAAGAAATGACAAAATCCCCATTTCCCCTGCAGGGATTCGTTGTCTTCCCTGTTCTCAAGGACACTAGCAGCTGCATGGCGGCTTGTTTCTGCAGAGTTTGATCCTCCACCTGAAGGACAGGCTGTCCAATCACAAGGCCATCCTGTCAAACTGTCCATGTTTGCACCTTAAAAGCATGCACATTGCCTTAAGCAACAACTTGGCCAAGATAAGAGGTGACATATTAGCCTTGAAGCTTTATTTCCAGGTGTTCTTATCGGTCTCTTGGCATGTTTGGATAGTTGAGTAATCCACAAGGTGAACACTATGGCTCCTCGTGCCGTTAAGCAGCTTATTCCTGCTGTAATTAGGGCTGTGTAGTAAAAACACGGAGCAGGCAGCAGGTAAAGATTTAAAACTACACGGAGAAGAGAAGTGCCCAGGTTGTAGGTTTTAAATCCTGACACCGAGCGCCTCTCTCTCCCGGAGAGTCGTTCAAAACAGGAGGAACATAATTATTGTTATCTCTTCGCAGCAGTAATGGGCAGCGCAGTAGGAGGCTGGTAAAAGCTGTAGCTTCACTATTAAATGAAATGCCAAAGTGGACTTTCTGCCTGGTGCATGCTGGGAAAAGGCTCCACCTCGCTGTCACTCAGAGCAGAAATAGGCAGATGAAATGGCGAGAAGAAACCCATTTTGCATTGATAAACAAAACAAAATGTCAGATTTGAAAGGTAAAATATTGAGGAAGTGATGCATTCAATGACCTTTATGACTCAGCTTTTCTGGGAATGCTATTATCAGGCAAAAGTGGATTTATTGTTTTCCGTACATCATTATGAATATCCAGATTATCAGAGCATCGCAGTGACTTCCAGCTGAGAGGGTTTTATTATTGTTTCTCTAAACCTCTGAACTCATACAAGGGTAAAGAGAGCCCCCTTGTGGAAATCAGGACTCATTTTTTACTCTTTAAACAGGAGAGGGCTCTTTAAAGTAGAGACACTACATACTGATATACACCTGAACATCAGCAGGAGAGGACTCTTTAAAGTAGAGACACTACATACTGATATACACCTGAACATCAGCAGGAGAGGACTCTTTAAAGTAGAGACACTACATACTGATATACACCTGAACATCAGCAGGAGAGGACTCTTTAAAGTAGAGATACTACATACTGATATACACCTGAACATCAGCAGGAGAGGACTCTTTAAAGTAGAGACACTACATACTGATATACACCTGAACATCAGCAGGAGAGGACTCTTTAAAGTAGAGATACTACATACTGATATACACCTGATCATCAGCAGGAGAGGACTCTTTAAAGTAGAGACACTACATACTGATATACACCTGAACATCAGCAGGAGAGGACTCTTTAAAGTAGAGACACTAAATACTGATATACACCTGAACATTAGCAGGAGAGGACTCTTTAAAGTAGAGACACTAAATACTGACATAGACCTGAACATCAACATAATAGAGCCCCTTTAAGTCCATAGTATTTTCACTTTAACTTAAGTGAAGTACGTACAGTGCTTCTACCAACAATGGCCTATTCGTTCCAATTGGAGTGAAAATGTAACTTGTCCTTTGAGTGTAAAATGTCAAATTCCTCCCACTGTATAATGAGGTTTGTGTTTGTGTGTTTTCTTGCAGGTCTGCTGGTGTACGTGGCGATGATGGTGGGGGCGTTGGTGTGGGGGGGTCTGAGTGATAAGATGGGGAGGAGGAAGTGTCTGATCTACGTCCTGAGCATCGACCTGGTCTTCTCCTTCCTCTCCTGCTTCGCGCAGGGCTACGGCTTCTTCCTCTTCTTCAGGATCTGCTCCGGCTTCGGGTGAGACGGCACATTTTACATTAATATAAAAATCAGTCCACTGGGAGCACAAGTAGGGACATTTTCTGGTTAAAACTGCAACTTAGGATCCTGAAAATGTCAGAAAATTGATTCAGAATCCCCACTTACCCCCAAAACATCTTCAAACTGGTCCAAATAGGTCTAGCCATCAACCTATGCTAATTGTGCAAGCTGCCCAGAGTTTTTGTTATAATAACTGTCCTTTTCCATAATTAATCCTTTTAGTTTGTCACATTTTGACGGGAAAAGCACATCTACATTTACCGCCAGAGTTGTTTTTATAATAACTGTCATTTTCCATAATTGATCCTTTAGTTTGACGGGAAAAGCCAATCCCCGTATTCGCATTTGATGATATTTGTTCCAAAATAAGACGCCTGACATTTAAAATTTGATTAGTAATGAAAGTCAAAGTCAATCTTTCAGTTTGTGTGTAAAGACAGAGAGAACGAAATACCGTTTCCCACTATCCTGAATACAAAAATACAAATATATATAAAAATATGTATAAAATATGTATATCCTATATATACACAATCAACAGACACATTTACACATGTGCACACATTAAGATAAAAGCACAACAATCAATATACAAAATAACTTCAATATCTTTGGGAATATACCAATAGGGAGCACTTCCACGAAGAGTCTGGCGTCAAGAGAGGACGCTGAATCAATTAGTTTTCCTTAAAATATAAATCACATTTACATATGCCTCACAACAGGAGATGTCTGTGTATTTACTCTATTAGTGCTGTTCATTATCACACCAATTAATGAACAATGCTCTTGTTTTTCATGTGAGCTTTTTATTGCAGACTTCCTGCTGTCTCGAACACCTCGGGGTGAAACTGTTGCTGTGCACAGATTGATGTTGCTCTTAGCTTCAAACACACTTTGATAATGATAACAGCCTGAGTGTACCTAGACATGCAAAATGGATGTTTTTGCTGAGCCAAAGAATAACAAGTTGTCAAAATAAAAACTGTTTCTGAGGCCCATGATAGTCATTAACTGTCCCCATGTTTCTTCACTAAACACAGGGAGCAGGCACACATGATTGTCTTGAAGTTAAACATCATTTGATTTCTCTCTTGGATCCATTTTTCTTCATAGATTTCTCCAAAACTGGACAAATAGCAGCCATATTTGCTGTATTGCTAGATATCAGAAGTAGTGAGGTCCAGGTGAAGTCAACAGAACAATGGGCTAACAATGACAGCACGTATATTATACAATAGGTTACATGTCAATTTCCCATAGGTGTCCTTTACACTAGCTAGCTTTTTAAAATAGCCACATTTGTCCCTATCATTTTTTAAACACAATATCTGTAAAAAAGAAAGCTGGGTCAGGAGTTCAGGTCCAATAAATGTTGAGAAAGAACAAACATGTATTTGAACAATAACAAAGCACACAATGCACATTCAATTCAGAAGTAACAAACGTGCATCGTCCATAAAAAGGAATGCAATGTAGGGTCTAAGCTACAACATAAACAAACAAAAAGATATCATCCTAAAATGACCCAAATATGTTTATGAACCCAACAGTAACTTCAAATAATGTTTGACATATTTCCTTCTTTATGCACCATTATTCACCTAAAGTTGATTGTTGAAGGTTAAAAACACAGTTTTCCTCTGAGCGCTTTTTCAACGTAAATGCACTTTGCAAATGCCAGATACCACAGGAAACGATCCACTAAATCCTCAAACAATTAAGTGTTTTTTTAGAGATTTATATTTGCGTTTCCTCCCCAGAATTGGCGGCTCCATCCCGATCGTTTACACCTACTTCACTGAGTTCCTGCAGATGGATAAACGTGGAGAACATCTGAGCTGGCTCTGCATGTTCTGGATGTTGGGGGGGCTTTACGCCTCTTTCACCGCCTGGGGAATCATCCCACACTACGGTAACACACACACACACACACACACACACACACACACACACACACACACACACACACACACACACACACACACACACACACACACACACACACAAACACTATTAAACAGAGGTGGGAAGTAGTAGAGTACAAATACTACGTTACTGTACTTAAGTACATGTTTATGGTATCAGTACTTTACTCCACTACTTATATTTCTGACAACTTTTTACTTTCTACTTCTTACATTTTGAACACAAATACCTGTACTTTCTACTTCTTACATGTTGAACACAAATACCTGTACTTTCTACTTCTTACATGTTGAACCCAAATACCTGTACTTTCTACTTCTTACATTTTCCAAACAGACTGGTTCCTTTAGTTTGAATGTGTGTTTGGTGGCGTGATCATTATTATTTAGAGTCATTGCGTGCCTATTGATTTGAACACGATCCGTGTATCCATCATTTCCTGGTCTTCTCTAAAGAAGAGGGACCAATGAAAACGTTGTCATGTTGCCGTTGTTCAGCATGGAAACATTCATTAGCTAACAATGACATTATTGTTCTATTAATATAAAGGGAGGTCAGGTACTCTTTAAAACAGCTGCTAGTTATGGGTACTTTTTACTGAAGTACATTTCAAAGCGCATACTTTGAACATGCACAAAAACCTATCGAACAAACTACAGGAAAGGGAAAACCCCAAGAAGCAGAATAGGGCCTCTTTAAGACTCTTCTCCTGATTGTTTTCCAGGTTGGGGATTCGCCATCGGGACAGAGATCCAGATCCACAGTTGGAGATTATTCATCTTCGTGTGTCTCTTCCCTGCGTTGGCTGCTCTCATCGGAGTCATCTTCATGCCGGAGAGCCCTCGTTTCCTTCTGGAGGTCAGAGCCAATGTCTCCAAATTAATTCAAATAACAAGTGGTTTTATTGTCTGCAAAACATAAAAACTGAAAGCAAGATTAACATCAAACACAATAACATGTAGCGTTTCTATCCTAATATGCATTATACTGTAAGTCTAGTTGACAGCTCAGAGTCTTGTTGTCAACCCAGAAATGTTGAGTACCCCAAAGTTTTATGTTAGAAATGTATAGTACGGGTCCCCAGCTCACCACCGGATTATATCTTGCATTTGTTGGGCAATATGCACTATTAGCACAAGTTGCGTTAATTAACATGAATTACCATTATAGCCTACAGTATGTGGACAATAGTTTGGACGTGGCTTGGCCGATTTGGACAATTTTGGAGTAGTGTTTGGGGTTATTTAGGATTCTCAATCAGTTTCTGACAATTTCAGGATCCGTAGTGGCAGTTTTAATCAGAAAATTGCCATATTTGTGGACTAATTTTTATAAATGTTGTGTCTATTTTGAGATTTTAGTGGATTCTGGATCATTTGGATTGGACAGATTGCTTATTTTTTCAAAAAAGGTTGTTCACAGTAGAGAAAATAATTTCCATCTTGTGCTCTCTCCAATGGTTGCAACACTGCTCATGGTAGGAAAAATCAGTCCACCGAGAGGACAAATATGGCCACTTTCTGGTAATAATATGGCAATTTCTGATCCTTAAAACGTCAGAAATGGATTCAGCATCCTCAATAACCCCCAAAACCACTCCTCAATTGTTGAAATCGACCAAGCCATTTTCAACTATTGCCCACAATTTATGCTAATTGTGCAAATCTTGGGGTACTCAACATTTCCGGGGTTTAACACGGTGGCAACTAGACTATATATGAGTGTTAAACATTGGTTATGCTGAGTCATCCTCAGCAACATACCACTGCTGTGCTAAGTTAGCGACAGGCTGCTAAGGCGCCACCACCCACCCAACGTTTCTCCTCCAGGACAAAGACCTCTGACCACATGTGGTATTATGTTTGTATGTGACTGCTCCAACATGTTCACACACACACACACACACACACACACACACACACACACACACACACACACACACACACACACACACACACCAAAATTATCACACATTTTCCCATCTGATAAGAGGCAGCTGACCTCATGGGAACATTGTTACTCAACTGGTTTTAGTGTTTTTGGGAAGAACAGCTGAGGTGGGAAGTAACTCAGTACATTTACTTAAGTACAATTTGACATACTGTCACTTTACTTGAGTATTTCCATCTTATGCTACTTTGTACTTCTACTCCACTACAGTTCAGAGGTAAATGGTGTACTTTTCCTCCACTACATGTATTTAATACCTTTAGTGACTTCACAGATGTGGATGAATGATGTGAAATATAATCAAGTGTTAAATCAGACTTTAGTTCCACCTGGAGTAAATGCACAAGCTACCCTGCAGTATACAAAGTCATTCAAACTAGCTGCACCTTTACCAGCTTTGAGAACACTTTCATGATCAATCATTATAAAACATATCATATATATTATTCTGAAATGGACCAATCTGCACAATGACTACTTTTACTGTCGCTACTTTCACTATATTTTGATGATAATACTTTTCTGCTTTTACTTGAGGAACATTTTGAATGCAGGACTTTTACTGTAACAGAGTATTCCTACACTCTGGTACTTCTACTTTTACTCAAGTACAAGATCTGAGTACTTCTTCCTTTACTCAAGTACTAGATCTGAGTACTTCCACTTTTAATCAAGTACAAGATCTGAGTACTTTTACTCAAGTACAATATCTGAGTACTTCTACTTTTACTCAAGAACAAGATCTGAGTACTTCTTCCACATCCAAAGCTAAATAAAAACGTGTTTATTTGTTTGTGTTTCAGGCTGCTCGACATGATGAAGCGTGGATGGTTCTCAGACGAGTTCACGACACCAACTGGAAGGCAAAGGGGGAACCAGAGAGAGTTTTCACTGTAAGACTTTTAATAGATTTATTTTCCTTTTCAGATTTTCATCAAACCGGTTTAAAATCTATATATTTAATGATTTGTTCTTTTGTTACAATACAATACAATACACCTTTATTTATAAAGAACTTTCAAACCTCCAGACCAGAGTGCTGTACAGTAAACACAAGTAACATCACACAGCTCAGCTCACACACCATAAAACAAGTGCAAGTAAAAAACAATAGACAATTTAAAAGCAATCAAAGCCTCAATCTACTGTTATTCAATGTCTTGAAGATATGTTTAGGGACTGGTACCCAATAATAGCATTATAAATGAAAGAGGTTGGCATGAACCTTGTTCCCTCTCTCTCAGTCACATGACGTTCCCTCTCGCTCAGTCACATGACGTTCCCTCTCTCTCAGTCACATGACGTTCCCTCTCTCTCAGTCACATGACGTTCCCTCTTTCTCAGTCACATGACGTTCCCTCTCTCTCAGTCACATGACGTTCCCTCTCTCTCAGTCACATGACGTTCCCTCTCTCTCAGTCACATGACGTTCCCTCTCTCTCAGTCACATGACGTTCCCTCTCTCTCAGTCACATGACGTTCCCTCTCTCTCAGTCACATGACGTTCCCTCTCTCTCAGTCACATGACGTTCCCTCTCTCTCAGTCACATGACGTTCCCTCTCGCTCAGTCACATGATGTTCCCTCTCTCTCAGTCACATGACGTTCCCTCTCTCTCAGTCACATGATGTTCCCTCTCTCTCAGTCACATGACGTTCCCTCTCTCAGTCACATGACGTTCCCTCTCTCTCAGTCACATGACGTTCCCTCTCTCTCAGTCACATGATGTTCCCTCTCTCTCAGTCACATGACGTTCCCCTCTCCTCAGTCACATGACGTTCCCTCTCTCTCAGTCACATGACGTTCCCTCTCTCTCAGTCACATGACGTTCCCTCTCTCTCAGTCACATGACGTTCGCTCTCTCTCAGTCACATGACGTTCCCTCTCTCTCAGTCACATGACGTTCCCTCTCTCTCAGTCACATGACGTTCCCTCTCTCTCAGTCACATGATGTTCCCTCTCTCTCAGTCACATGACGTTCCCTCTCTCAGTCACATGACGTTCCCTCTCTCTCAGTCACATGACGTTCCCTCTCTCTCAGTCACATGACGTTCCCTCTCTCTCAGTCACATGATAGTAAAAGACTATTTATTTTTCCAAAACTCTAATTTCTTAATCTAAAATAGTTCATATATAAAGTTCAAATGCCCGACTTTATCTCACAATAACGTATTATTTATCGTGTTGGACTGAAAAAAAATGATGAACCTTTGTACTAGAAATGAAAGCTTCATAAAGAGACAGAATAAAAGAAGAATAAATATAAGCATTTATGTCGACATACCGGGAGGTTATTACTGTGTTCATATCCAAACTCCTCTCTTTTTTGTGAAGGCGACCAACATCAAGACTCCACAGACTGAGGAGGACGATTTCATCGAGATCCAGAGCGACACGGGGACGGCTTTCCAGCGCTGGACCGTCCGTCACATGACCATGCTGCAGCAGGTCTGCACATCATACATTATAACACTTACTTGTATCGACATAACACATGCGATCTACTTTATGTATTTATGATCCTATGTGCTCTTCATGATGCTTGAAATGTAAAACAAGCTGAGGTGTAGACAGTCATCTTAAGATAAGATAAGATAAGATAAGATAAGATAAGATAAGATACAACTTTATTGATCCCAATTTGCGAAATGTTTGTGTTGCAGCAGCATGAAAAGACATGGCCTTGTACAATACAAATTAAAAGACAAGAAATAAACAAGAAAGTAGAAAATATACATGTTGAATTTACAAATTAACAATAACAACATATAAAGCAAGGTATTATATTTACATAAGTATGTGACAGAAGGAATATTAAATATTAGACTGAATACATAAATGTAAAATGTACAGTGAAGAGAAAAACTATGGAGCATTTTATGTGGTCAATCCCTAAAATAATTACCCCAGCTACTCCAAGTATATCAGAATCAAGTTTATTTAGGTCTGCACATCATTCCTAGATTATAACACGTACTTGTATCTACATAATACTTGTGATCCCATCTATGTAAATATTATCCTGGGATGTGGTTGCGCCCTAATTTTAACCTTTTCCCAGAAGGTATTTGGGATAGATATACCACTAAATCCATATCATTTAGTTCTGGGATTAGACTCTTATTTTGAACACAGACACATGTAAATGCACACCTCACAATATTACACAAATAGTGTAATTATATTTGAGCATCATTTGAAAAACCGTTATCCAATGTGTTAAAAGGAAGTCTTGACGATTTTGTTAGGGACTGGTACCCAATAGCATAATATAAGTCAAACAGAATAATTATAAGTGTAGGTCTTTGTATTTTATCATGTTATGACTCTGCATGACTTAAACTGCATGTGTAGTTCTGCAGACGTACCATATCTACCTGTGTGTGTGTTTCAGGTGATGGCTAACATCATGTCGCTCTCTGCCGCTGAGCTCCGGCTGCAGGGCCTCTTCCTGCTCATCGTCTGGTTCTGCCTGGCCTTCAGGTAGCTCTTTAAAACACGTCATATGACTATAAATAATCCACATGTGTAACGACTGAGTGAACACAAGTAGAGGACTCAATAGCACGACTTAGGGACAGAGGCTTTGGTTACAAAGAAGGTCTATACAAGCAAAGGTTCGGTACACGGTAGGTCAATCAGGAAGGAAACCAAAACAGGCGAGGATTAGGCCGGAACAGGGTCAGGTACACGTGGAAGCTAAATACTAGAAAAAAATACTGCTGGAAAGCTTGAAAGAACAAAGATGAACTGGCACTGAGGGGAATGTGAACACAGACTAAATACAGACGGGGAGGGATGATAACGGGACACAGGTGAGACTAAGGATGGTTACACAGGTGGGGTTCAATCACAGGAAGGAAGTGGTGACACTGAAATGAGAGGAGAGGTGAGAAACAAAATAGGAATATCATCAGAATGATAACAAAAAAATAACTTGCTGGCTAGGACCTTACAACATGTGTACCTTCAACTTCAAATCCCAGTTATAAGTCAGTTATAAGAAATACTGAGCAAATGAGCACAGCATGATAACCGTCAACCCTTACCATGATACTACCTATACAATATAATATAATATGCACTATATCGTTGAGATTTGAGGCATACATATCGTAATATAATACATTTACATCCCTACGAGTGGATATTCATTCAAATTATGTATTTTAAGTATATGGGTGGATATTCTTATACTGTCACTGGAAATGTAAAATGTCCAAATCACAAAAAGAGGTTTTCTCACTTGATAATATCTAGATTTTAATATTGTTTTTGTTTATTTTGCTTAAGTATAGAAGTGTAAAAGTGTATATATGAAGGTTTATTTAGTCTGTTTACATATGTTTCTCTGTGCTTCAGCTACCACGGGCTGGGAGTGTGGTTTCCTGATATGATCAAATACATGCAGTACGAGGAGTACGAGTCCAAGGTCCGAGTGTTTCACCGAGAACGAGTCGAACGCTTCCACTTCAACTTCTCTTTAGTCAACCAGATCCACCGCGAGGGCGAGTACATCCACGACAAGTACGTTTCCTACTCTCCGTCCCTAACATACTGCATATATTCATATTACATTTGCTCTTTAAAGGTCTCCTATCATGCGAAATGCACTTTTTGATGTCTTTTCTACATAAACATGTGTCCCCGGTGTGTCAGGGAACTCACAAAGTGTCAGAAAATAAAACCCTCTCTCTTTTCCTCCGTACCCAAATCTTTTAAAAACGGGGGTACAACGGAGCTGATCCAGATTTGCGTCCGATATGACGTAATATCTGAAATGTGGGCGGGCTTTAGACCCACGGCCCTATCAGAAACGTTGCTATCAGAAACAATGCCTGACGTATTTTGGACGTAATATGGTCTTTGTTTACATTAGCATCGCTAACACTCAGAGCTAACCTGTACTGGAGAGAGTATGTGTAAAAAAGCAGGAAATAAAAAAAAGGAACTCACCTTGTGGTAAACCTGAGAGAGAGAAAGAGTTTGAGCTCCATACTGTTTCAGAAATAATCCTTGATGTGGTTTGGAACATGATATGGCGTTTAATCACGGCAGCATTTAGCTGGGAATCTGCCGGTAGAATTCTGAGCAGGCATTGGCTCCACCCCCTATTATTTATTTTATATTTTTAAAGCTAAGGACACAAAATCAGCATTTTAAATAGAGGAGTATGAGGCATGGCTAGAATGGGTGATCTGTTTGGTATTTTTTAGCAAAACACATCAAAGACATGTTTTTTTTATATATCTGAGACCTATATATGCCTAAAAATTGTATAATAGGAGACCTTTAAAGTCACTTTAGCAGTGGCGGTTCTTGACCAATTTTACTGGGGGGGCCAGGCTGGGGCCAGTTATTTCATGAGAGGGGCATAATAAAAGTGGGTTAAAAAGACAAAGACAGTATAAAGTAATTGTGTAAAATAAACATAAAATACAGTAATTGGTATTTGTTTTTGTAAAGGTATTTGTTTCAGTAAATTTAAGTTACAGTCCTTTGTTTCAGTAGTTTTTTTCATTTAGAGTATTTAGTTTTAGTAACTTTAAGTGACAATTTATTTAAAAATGTGCTTTTATAAGGTAATGAACAGTTTAATCCCCACTGTACATCCGGGTCTATGATTTGATTTAGTTCCAATAAATCGTAATATTGTAACCTTTTTTTTGGAGGGGGGCCACAGGGGGTTCCCTGGTCAGTGTTACGGGGGCACTGGCCCCGGTTGCCCCCCCCCCCCTAGAACCGCCCCTGCACATTAGGTTTATGTTTGATGAGATTCCTTTTCCTTTCATTCAGGTTTGCAAACATTGAGATTAAGTCGGTGAAGTTCGAGGATTCTCTGTTTGAAAACTGCTACTTTGAGGATGTCAGGTCCACCAACACCTTCTTTGAGAACTGCACCATCAAAAACACCGTCTTCTATAACACAGGTACCATGCAGAATTAGTAAAAACATTTTAATATTACTTTTACTTTACGTGGATTTCTTAAAGTTTAGGTCTCAATAAATGTACTTATAAAAGACAAAATGAACAGTTAACTGAAGGTAATGGATGGAAAAATATTCATTTAGTGGGTTCTTTGTTTGGTTTGATTTGATATTAGAGAAACAAAACAAATAGCTTTGATGTGTTAATGTTAATGGTAATATCCACAATTCATTGGAAGTATTTTATTTAAAAAAAACGTTTTAACTCACGGTTGCGAGATAAATAAATCTGGATATTATGATGATAGTTTGTTACAAAATATTTCAGTAACTTTGCTGCTTTCAGCTTCAGCCAGAAATGTTGATTTAGTTCAAATTAAAAAAAATATATAGATTGAAACTTTAATGCTGCCATAAATGAGAAATAAAATAAAAGGTATTAATAATTAGCAAATATGTTAATCATCCAGCTCTAAGAGTTACAATCATTTGTTTACAATGTAAATCAAAAATTGTTATCCTTTAACATCCCTGTGTTCTCTGCAGACCTCTGGGAGGAGAAGTTTAAAGATTGCAAGATGGAGAACACCACCTTCCTCCACCCGAAGAAAGGCTGCCACCTGAACTTCCTGGAGGAAAACGACATCATAATATATATGGTCAGCTTCCTGGGGAGTCTGGCCGTCTTACCGGGGAACATCCTCTCTGCTTTGTTCATGGACAAGATAGGAAGGATCCGAATTATAGGTGAGATCATCATGTGGAAACACATTATAGTTAGCATCGCAAGCAATGGGATTTTCAGAAAATAAGCTCTGTGTCGAACATTTATGACGCTTACACTTTCTGTTAAACCGGATAATCTCCACATATTAACACCACTTTATGATTATTGAAGTAAAAAGCTAATGTTGGGCTATAAAGGAACTACAGCACGGTCACATGACTTCACGTCACTACCGCTAAGCTAAAGGCGGCTAATGTTGGTCTATAAAGGAACTACAGCACGTCACATGACTTCATTTCACCACCGCTAAGCTAAAGGTGGCTAATGTTGGGCTATAAAGGAACTACAGCACGTCACATGACTTCATTTCACCACCGCTAAGCTAAAGGTGGCTAATGTTGTGCTAAAAAGGAACTACAGTACGGTCACATGACTTCACGTCACCACCGCTAAGCTAAAGGTGGCTAATGTTGTGCTATAAAGGAACTACAGCACGGTCACATGACTTCACGTCACCACCGCTAAGCTAAAGGCGGCTAATGTTGGGCTATAAAGGAACTACAGCACGGTCACATGACTTCACGTCACCACCGCTAAGCTAAAGGTGGCTAATGTTGGGCTATAAAGGAACTACAGCACGGTCACATGACTTCACGTCACCTCCGCTAAGCTAAAGGCGGCTAATGTTGGACGTGATGACGTTTAGTCGTCTCATTTAGACACTTTTTCACTCCGTTTTTAAATTCAACAGTGGGGTATTTACTGACAAACTTTATGTAGTAGAAAAAAATGTGACAATCTCTTTAGCCTTATTTCAGGCTGACAACAACAAACACACTTCCAGATGGGGGAACAGAACGTGCTAAAGTGCTATCACATTTCCAGGTTTCAGGGCTAACTCCTGCAGCATTTTAGAGGTTTTTTTAAGTGTTGTTTTTGACAAAAATCTGAATCTGTGTTTCCAGGTGGTTCTATGTTGGCGTCGGCCGCCTGTACCTTCTTGCTGCTGCTGAGTTTCAGTCAAGGAGCGGTAATATGTTGGCAGTGTCTCTTCTACGGCACCAGCGTGGCGGCATGGAACGGCTTACAGGTCATTTCTGTGGAGCTCTACCCCTCCGCCAAAAGGTAATGTACAACTATCCCAACGGGAAAATATAAGATAAGATAAGATAGGACTTTATTCATCCCGAAGGAAATTGTTGTGCCAAAGTTACAAAAATACCATAAACATAGCAGCACAAAAATAATAAAACTGTACACTAACAGTGCGGTAAAAAGAGCAATTCAATAATTACAGGAAACATAGATGGTCACAATGTAAATATTTACAGTATTTAGTAGTAGTGCAAAAACCGTCATGTATCGAACATTATTAGATCCAGAGATCCAGTCCAATCTTCTCCAATATTGTCTCTACAACTTCCCTATGGTTTTCTGCTAATTAACTGTTAGCTCAATCTCAATCTTAATACTAGTTGAACATCACATTTTGACATTTCTATATGTTTTTATCTTGTTTTTAATTATTGTTTTATTATTTTACTCCTATTGTATTATTACAGTATATATTGTATTTGTTCCCTTGGTCAACTGAGGTTGTTTTAAATGTGCTTAAAATTGATATTGAACTGTTAGCTAAACCAGTGATTCGTGTACAGCTAACAAGAGAATGGTTTGTAAAAAGTTTTCAAAGTCATGATGCTTCATAAAGAGATCAAATAAGAGCAGAACAAATATAAGCAATCATGTCAAAATAGACATAAATGCTTGTAAAAAATAATAAACTGTGACCTAAAAACAGGAAACAACCGTAAAAACAACCGTTTAACATCTGAAGCCATGTGGCTGGTTATGACTGATACAAGTTAGCGTTGTTTTAGGAGTATAAAGAGTATGCATTGTCAACCAAACAACACGGCAAATAGTTTAATGTCACTTATACTTCTTTTTCTATGGTCCAACTTTACCCTCTTGCACCAAAGATCCAGGGAAACTTTGCCCTTTCTCCTGGCTGAGAATTTAAAAGAAAATCTCATTCAACTGGACAAAGACAACAGGTCATCTGATACGAGGCGCTTATTCATTTCGTCCAGCACACCTAGAACTTTTCCTTTCTTGCAATATAATCTTTTTATATTCATGAGTCTGATAGCCAATCTTTCGCACCAAGGGGGGAAATAATGACTTGCACTGTGAAAACATGTTGAAATCATCACTCGGCAGAGGTGGGAAGTAGTGGAGTACAAATACTTTGTTACTGTTCTTCTTCTTGTACTTAAGTACATTTTTCTGGTATCAGTACTTTACTCGACTACTTATTTTTACGACTTTTTACTTTGACTTCTTACATTTTGAACACAAATACCTGTACTTTCTACTTCTTACATTTTGAACACAAATACCTGTACTTTCTACTTCTTACATGTTGAACCCAAATACCTGTACTTTCTACTTCTTACATGTTGAACACAAATACCTGTACTTTCTACTTCTTACATTTTGAACACAAATACCTGTACTTTCTACTTCTTACATTTTGAACACAAATACCTGTACTTACTACTTCTTACATGTTGAACACAAATACCTGTACTTTCTACTTCTTACATGTTGAACACAAATACCTGTACTTTCTACTTCTTACATGTTGAACCCAAATACCTGTACTTTCTACTTCTTACATGTTGAACACAAATACCTGTACTTTCTACTTCTTACATGTTGAACCCAAATACCTGTACTTTCTACTTCTTACATGTTGAACACAAATACCTGTACTTTCTACTTCTTACATGTTGAACACAAATACCTGTACTTTCTACTTCTTACATGTTGAACCCAAATACCTGTACTTTCTACTTCTTACATGTTGAACACAAAATACCTGTACTTTCTACTTCTTACATGTTGAACACAAATACCTGTACTTTCTACTTCTTACATGTTGAACCCAAATACCTGTACTTTCTACTTCTTACATGTTGAACACAAATACCTGTACTTTCTACTTCTTACATGTTGAACACAAATACCTGTACTTTCTACTTCTTACATGTTGAACCCAAATACCTGTACTTTCTACTTCTTACATGTTGAACACAAATACCTGTACTTTCTACTTCTTACATTTTGAACACAAATACCTGTACTTTCTACTTCTTACATGTTGAACACAAATACCTGTACTTTCTACTTCTTACATGTTGAACACAAATACCTGTACTTTCTACTTCTTACATGTTGAACACAAATACCTGAACTTTCTACTTCTTACATTTTCCAAACAGGCTGGTTCCTTTAGTTTGAATGTGTGTTTGGTGGCGTGATCATTATTATTTAGAGTCATTGCGTGCCTATTGATTTGAACACGATCCGTGTATCCATCATTTCCTGGTCTTCTCTAAAGAAGAGGGACCAATGAAAACGTTGTCATGTTGCCGTTGTTCAGCATGGAAACATTCATTAGCTAACAATGACATTATTGTTCTATTAATATAAAGGGAGGTCAGGTACTCTTTAAAACAGCTGCTAGTTATGGGTACTTTTTACTGAAGTACATTTCAAAGCCCATACTTCTTTACTTGAGTAAAGAAGTTTAGTCAGTACTTCTACTTTTACCAGAGTATTTTTAAACACGAGTATCTGTACTTCTACTTGAGTAAAGGATGTGTGTACTTTTACCATCTCTGGCACTCAGTTTTATTTCTCTGTTTCTCTGCAGAGGGACGGCGTTCGGTATCCTGAACGGGATCTGTAAGTTTGCCGCCATCCTCGCCAGCTTCATCTTCGCCAAATTCATCGGCATCACGAAGATAGTCCCGATCTTCTTGGCCTTCGCTTCGCTCGTCTGCGGAGGTTTGGTCGCCCTGAAGCTGCCGGAAACTCGGGAGAAAATCCTCCAGTGAACAGCCAAACTCCTGCAGCATCCACCGCTGTATCGCTATGAGGAAAGCTTTTTGGGAAAGTGTATCAACTTAAACTGAATTGGAAAGACGCGGTTGCTGTGTTATAATTTTAAAAAATGTTGAAAACCTGTCTGGTTGCCTACGTGAACCTGTGGTTGCTTTCTATTCCCTCTGTGAGCTCCTCAGGCTCCTGTTAAAAAAAAACTAGTGGTTCCTTTGTATCATTTACTCTCCGTCCTCCACACTGATAAAACTGAAGCGTTGATTTTAATTAAATGTATTATGTCAACAAACTCCACATAACTGTATTAGGTTAGTTGAAAACAATCATTTAAATAGGTACAACTTAATATGATTGCTTTTAACTAACCTAATACAGTTATGGGAAAGTTGTTGACATAATGCACACACACACACACACACACACACACACACACACACACACACACACACACACACACACACACACACACACACACACACACACACACACACACACACACACACACACACACACTGTAGCAACATGTGTTTTGTTTGAGGTTTGTGTAACAGAATATGAGATGTGTGTACTTGAAAGGTGATGTAGTTCATGTTACCATGTTGTGCTTTCATTTCATTCCCCCGCTGGATAAGAAAAAGGAAGGACTTATAGTCGAATTGGATTTGAATCCCGTTGTATTTTCGCCGAGTCTCAGCAGCAATATCACTGTTGTTATTCAGAGAAAACACCTCTTTTGTTCACCCAGACGTTATTTATTCTGTCCGTCCTGTGTGTATAGTCTTCTTTAGTCCACATGTTGTTGCTCAGACTTAAACCTGGATTGACCATTTAATTAAATGTAGGAGTTATTTATTTTTATTTTATTGGAACAGCGGACTGGATTCTCCTCCTTCTTGTCCCTCGAAAACACGTTGTGTGTGTTTGTTAAAGTAGAGCTGTGATTATGAGTGGTGAAAACGTAGAATATTATCTGTCACATCTTGCCATGACATCAAATAAGGAACTGTTTATTTATTGATTTTTTTTCTTTTCTAAATAAGTGAAATTAGATGTTTTGATATGATGCTCTCATTTTAATGTTCTGATGAAGAACTGTTTTACAGAACCTGCTGCATTTCTGACAACATGTGTCAAGATTTCTAAGGAGCATGTTATGTTTTTTTGGCGTGACTGAGCTGTGTGTGTGTTTGTGT